CAAACATTGGTTCCTGCCCCGCATTAGGAACGCTGCCAAACATTGGTTCCTGCTCCACATTAGGAACGCTGCCAAACATTGGTTCCTGCTCCACATTAGGAACACTGCCAAACATTGGTTCCTGCTCCACATTAGGAACTCTCTCAAACATCTTTTTAGCCTGTTCTTGTAAATGCTCTCATTGTCTAAAATCCTTTCCACAGAGATGAATGTTTAACAAGCTGTCTACTTGATGGAATGTGCCATTGATCTTTCATCACATGATCAGTGACACATTCCATCAGGTAGGCAGCCAGTAAACTATCAAACCACATGCAGGAAACAAGAAATCAGTCCAATTTTGATATTCAGATAGAAATTTGTTTGCCACATAAGCTTTTTTTTTTTTCCAACATTATCTTTATTGGTTTTTCAACAGTGTTTCCAACAATACACAAGGCACAAGTGTGCTCCCACATCAGAGGAAAGTCCAGGGTAGTTAAGTTAATGTCCAATATTCAGCTTCTTTCCTTGCATGCCAGATTTTTATAGGATATTTTAGAGCAGCACTTATTACATACAGAATATATGAGAAAAAGAAAACAATATCCCTCACCCCAACCACCCTGAGAAGAAACAACAAATACAACAATAACGGTTTCTCTATTTTCCAGGAGTTAGCCCAAATTATTTTAGTATTGTACGTGGTTCAGAGAATACAAACTCAAATGTACAATTCAAAGTAAAGTAGTCAATTATACAAATAAAGAAGATTATTTTAGGACACTGCAGAAGACCAACCGCTACTATAACTCACCCGCCACCCTCATATCTATGTTTTCTATATATTCCATAAAAGGACCCCAAATATTTTGAAATAGCGATAGCTTCCCTTTTATAATGAAAGAGATCTTTTCCATTGGTAAGGTTGTGGATATTTCGGTAATCCATTTAGTGAATTTTGGTTTACTGGTACTCTTCCATGAGAGCGCTATGACTCTTTTTGCAAGTAGTAAACATAAATCCATGGCAGTAATAATTTTTCGGGACATATGATGTTTGTCAGGATATAAACCTAGGATGAACAATTTAGGGTCAAGAACTAGCTTTATACCTAGTATCGTCTCTAGAGCTTGTTTTATCTCCCTCCAGAATTGTAAAACTTTCTTGCATTTCCAGATGCAATGGAAGAATGTTCCCTTTTCTTCTCCGCATCTAACACACAAGTCTGGGATGGCGCCATTGTATTTATTAAGCTTTTCTGGCGTCACATAAGTTCTCATTAGCCAATGATATTGCAGTACTTTGAGGCGTGTATTGATAGTTTGTGTTTGTGCTTCAGCACACGCCTTCTCCCAGTCTTCCAAAAGCAAGTTCTCCTGTAGATCCTCCCTCCAGGCATTGAGCTTCCATAGAGATGACTCAGAGGATCCCTCCACTAACATGCTATATAGTTTAGAAATAATTCCTTTTCTAAAGCAATCATTCTTCATTTCAATTTCCAAGGTGGACATCAGAGGGATGGACTCACATTGATTTTGAGATGATCTAATAAAATTTCTCACTTGCAGATATTTAAAATAATGTTTGCTTGGGATATCGTACCTAGCCTTTAACTCTTCAAATGACATCAAAACCCCGTCCTTCGATTCCACCAGATCTCCTATTGTCCTTAAACCTTTTTCAGCCCATTTCCTAAAACCAGGATCTGCCCTACCTGGAGGGAAGGATTGGTTACCCCATATTGGACTGAAGCGTGATAGGGAGGAGGAATCACCTAAATACTTCTTGACCTGATACCAAACCAAGATCATATTTCTGACTATAGGGTTTTTTGTCTTTTTTTTCAGCATTTTGATGTTTGCTGAGAAAATGTACTGGGGTAGAGGGAGAGGAACAGAACAATTTTCAATAATCACCCATGGCAAGAGACACTTATCTGAAAAATAATACATCATAGTCCTCAATTGAGCTGCCCAGTAGTACCAAAGTGGATTGGGGCACCTGAGGCCTCCTCTATCATACGGTAGATACAAAAGTGTTAAACGAAGCCTTGGTCGTCTGTTATTCCACAAAAAGCGTATGAAAATGTTTTTTAGGGCCGAAAATAAATTGGCAGGAGGTGGCAATGGGATGTTCTGAAACAAGTACAGAAGTTTGGGCATTATGTTGGATTTAAGGACATTGATTCGTGCTATAAGTGACAAAGGTAGGTGATTCCATCTATCTACAGAGGCAGCAATTGAGTCTATCATTGGGTTATAGTTAACTGCAACAATGTCATTTATATGTGGTACTATCCTAATCCCCAAATATGTAAAACAGTCTACCTTTTGGAATTGGAAAGGATTCCCAACACTGTTTCTTTCTTCTGAATTAAGTAACATTAATGAAGACTTATCTTTATTTACTTTATATCCTGAAATTTTTCCAAATGTATTTATTAGCTCTAACAAGGCTAGAATAGAGTCTTTCAGTTTTTCTAAAAAAAAAAGGATGACATCATCAGCAAATAAAGCAATTCTATGTTCCTGTTGGCCTATTGTCAAACCGGTTATGTTTTTATGGGACCGCACCGCAATGGCGAACGATTCTATTGCTAGAATAAATAATAAAGGGGACAAGGGGCACCCTTGCCGACAACCCCTTTTAATTTTAAATGATTTAGATATAACTCCATTTGTTACTATTTCAGCATAAGGCTCATTGTATAAAAGTTTAACCCATCGACAGAAGTTGTCCCCGCAGCCAAATCTTTTCAGTATCTCGAATAAATAGGGCCATTCGACTCTATCAAAGGCCTTTTCGGCATCCAATGATAGCAAAGCAGTGTCTGTTTTTTCTTCCATATTATAAATGATATCCAACACTCGTCTCACATTGTGAAATCCCTGTCTTCCTACAATAAACCCATTTTGGTCACAACTAATTATTTCGGGCAATATTCTCTCCAGTCTTCGAGCCAGGACTTTACAAATAATCTTTAAATCAACATTAAGAAGACTTATTGGTCTTAGATTTTCACATTTGTTGCAAGGTTTGCCAGGTTTAGGTAATAAAGTAATCAGGGCTCCTCTTAGTGAGGCAGGAAGAATTCCTTTTTCAAATGAGTCTAAATGCATGTCAAAAAGGGGGGCTAGCAGTTTAGCTTTGAATTTCTTATAAAATTCTGTTGGCAGCCCATCTGGGCCTGGGGCTTTACCTGTTCTCAAGTGATCTATTGCTATAGATATTTCCTCTTTAGTTATAGCTGCACTGAGATCTGTACTCATTAATTCTGAGATATTGGTCATTTGGAGAGATTCTAAGAAAACATTTTGCTCTTGTTCCTTATACGTCATGTCTGAGCTGTATAGTTTTTCAAAAAAGACCTTAAATACTTCATTGATTTCTAACGGATCGGTAATAATCTCTCCCTGATTATTTTCAACTGAGGTAATATTTTTCTCATTTTGTAATTGTCGGAGTCGCCAGGCTAATAATTTTCCAGGTTTTTCCCCTTGATCATAGAACGACTGCTTAAGACGCAAAAGTTGTGAGGCGGCTTTTGAGGCAGAAAGTTCGTTATACTGTGTTCTTAATATCAGAAGTTTTTTATGGGTGTTTGGACATAGTGTTTGATAATAATCTCTCTCAAGCCGCTCAATCTCTGCTGCCAACTCTTTTGTTTTTTGATAAGTTTGTTTTGCCTTATGACTCGTAAAGCTAATTATTTGACCCCTTATATAGGCCTTGAAGGCTTCCCACCTTGAAGAGGGTGATGTTTCATCTCTATTGATTTCAAAATAGATGCTAATTTGATTATCTACAAAAAATATTAATTCTGGGTCCAAGAGCCATTTTTGTTTAAATCTCCACCTAGGTGGGTCTCTCCTTAGTCTTAAATCCTCATAAAGAAGATGATTTGGTGCATGGTCGGAAATTAAGATGCTATCGTATTGACAGTCTCTTATTTTATGTCTCAAAGAGGCAGAAATCAAAAAGTAATCGATACGTGAATATGACTTATGTGTATTTGAATAACAAGAGTATTTTGAAATCTTTGGATTCATGTCTCTCCAAACATCCATCAAATTAAGTTCCTTCATAAAGTATTGAATCGTTTGTCTACTTTTAGAGTGAGAGTTGTCAGTACCTGAACTTCTGTCCAGTTCTGGGTTCATTGTGCAGTTAAAATCTCCTGCTATAATATAGCTGCCAGACAAAGATGAAATTGTAAGAAAGAGATTTTGAAAAAACTTTGGGTCGTCAACATTTGGGGCATAAATATTTATCAGATTTATTTTTTCTGAGATAAGTGTGCCCTGCAGAATAATGTACCTCCCAGCCTTGTCTCTAATAACCCTTGTCACACGGAATGGTATGGATTTATGAATCAGGATCATAACCCCTCTTGCTTGGGAAGTAAAAGGTGCTGAATATATGCTGCCCTGCCACCTCCTGCCAATCCTTGCCTCCTGTCCAGACAACAAGTGAGTTTCCTGAAATAACACAATATCAGAGTGCATAGATTTCACCCTAGTCATTATCTGCTTAACTTTTTTTAGTTTCTGTAATCCTCTGCAGTTCCAAGAAGACACTTTAATTCTTAATCCACCAGACATACTGTATAACACTTAATGGGCTTCCTATTATTTTCAAATTGTTTAAAAACAAAGAAACCAAGAACATTTGAATGTTAAAAGCTATACCCATGGTAATGATGAACACTGAACAGTAAACCCCTTTCGAACTCTGTTGCCCACCCTCCTCCCCCCCTTTTAGTACTCTGGTACCCATCTAACAGCTGAAGGCTGGTCCACACGAAAGTGAGGATCAGGCGACTGTGCCTGAACATTTCCCTCTTATCCCACCCCACTACAATAAGAAACTCGTTACTATTGCCTATTGCCTATGAGCCTCTGGGATAGCAAACAGGGAATATAATAAACAAATTTTTAAGCCTTACTTATTTTACTTAACTTTAGGTATTGTAATTGTCCATCCCTTTTAATACTTTGCGATGTATTGATGTCATTGTCTCACCCAGGTCCACTCTCTGTTTTCAGAGTCCTTACAAAGTTCTCTGCTTCAGCTGGTTGGTTAAAGATCCGAGACTGACCGTTGTGTGTCACCAGCAGTCGAGCGGGAGGAATCATGCCGTATCGTATCCCCATGGCACGGAGTTGTTGTCTCACACCGTCAAACTCTTTCTGTTTTTTATGCACACCAGCTGCGAGGTCCTCATAAAATCTCACCGGATGGTTCTTGAATAGGATCTGTCCCTTCGTCCTGGCAGCTCTTATCACAGTTGCTTTATCCCTGTAGTTTAAGAACTTCATAATAAGAGTCCTTGGTGCAGCGGTGTTAGATGTGCTTTTCTGGCCAAGCCGGTGCGCTCTTTCCAGTGTCAGAGTGGTGCGTAGCGGTGCCAGGTTCAGAGCCTCCGGTAGCCAGTTTTCCAGAAAGGCGCAGGCGTCCTCTCCCTCCGCGCCCTCAGGAAGGTTAACCAGTCTCAGGTTAGATCGTTGCGATCTGGTCTCCAAGTCAACACTTTTCCTTCGAGTTCTTTATTTTTATTTTCGAGGACCTGGACCTTAGCTTGTAGACCTGTGACGTTGTCCTCTGCCGCAGATATCCGTACTTCCGCCTCACCAACCCGCTCGGCGCATTCGTTAACATCTTTTTTAACATTCTCTATTGCTGATAGAATACCATCCAGTTTGGAGGAGAAATCTGATTTCAAGTTTGCAATTGCAGCCAGTATTACCTCTGAACCAGTCTCAACCATCTTATTTCCCTCATTCAACTCGCAATTTTCCTCCTCCATTGACTCGCACGTGATGGTGTTAGCCTCGCTATTTTCACAGCTAGCTTCAGAGCTCACCTTAGAAGTGAAGTTAGATAACTTCGATTGAGTCGGTTTGCTGGGGTTTTTACTAGGCTTCCTTTGTGAGAGAGGCATCACAGCTGTTCCAAACGTCGTTCAGTGTCACTTGCAACGAGTATTTTCCAGGATTTTACATATAGGTAGTGGAGCCGAAGCGAACACGTCCTCTCAGCAAGCCGCCATTACCGGTCCTTGCCACATAAGCTTAAGTTAAGTTTAGAGTCACTTGAATGAAAAGTCTGGTTGTTTTATGGACCATGTTGACGCCATGTTGAACTACAACAACATTCTGAGTTCAAGCATTTTAGTACTCTGCCTTTGGCCTCGTCTATCAGTTATTACAGAACTTTGTCTTTCACTTTCAGGCTGACTACCAGGAAGGAACAACATCTAATAGTGCTAATGCTAATAGTTTTATCTCAGCACAAATTGTAACGGTTTCCTGAATTACACCCATCAGCCATTTTAGGTCTTCATTTTCAGGCCCATTAAAACACAGACTGACTTGTCCACTAGAACCAAGACCTGACTTGTGAATATGGCAAAAAAAAATATTTGCACCATTTTTTTCTACTTTAAATCATGACCAAGCTGCAGAGTGCAAAAGCTAAGTTTATTCCCCTTCACAGGTTGAGGATTTTGTTGAAGGGGCTGCTGGTTCTCTGCTACTGCTTTAGACAATGCAGCTCCTTTGAAACTTTTTTTGGAAATAGAAAGCTTGCTCCTCGGTTTAATGCAGATTTGCGCACTTTGAAGCAAAATGTTAGGAAACTGGAGAGAAAATATCGCTCCACAGGCCTACGGGAATCCTACCTAGTCTGGAAAAATAGTTTACTGCTGTATTAGAGGACCCTTCATAAAGCAAGAGCAGCATATTTCTCCTCATTCATAGAGGAGAATAAGAATAATCCTAGATTTCTTTTTAATCCAGTTGCCAAACTCACCCAGAGCCATAGCTCTGTTGAACCGTCCATTCCACCGGCTCTTAGCAGCAATGATTTTATGGGATTTTTTATAAATAAGATTGATCTTATTAAAATAAGATCATTAGCACTCCTCTATCCGCGATTGTACCTGAGGTAGTCATGGAATCTGAACCGGGTTTAGACTGCTTTGATCCAGTTGAACTTTCAGACTTAGCAAAATTATTGTCTTCATCTAAGCCTTCAACTTGGATGTTAGATCCAGTTCCAACCAGGTTATTTAAGGAGGTATTCCCTTTGATCTCCTCCTCCATTTTAGATGTGATTAATCTATCTCTGTTACAGGGATATGTACCTAAAGCTTTTAAGGTTGCTGGAATTAAACCTCTGCTTAAGAAACCGTCTCTTGACCCAGATGACTTGGTCAATTATAGACCTATATCCAATCTTCCTTTCTGATCTAAAATTCTTGAGAAAGTAGTTGCCAAACAAGTGTGCGATCACTTCCACCATAATGAACTTTTTGAAGAGTTTCAGTCTGGCTTTAGAGCTCATCATAGCACTGAAACAGCTCTGGTGAAAGTCACTAATGATATTCTCATGGCCTCAGATAATGGACTTGTATCTGTGCTCGTCCTGTTGGATCTCAGTGCTGCATTTGATCCAGTTGATCATAATATTCTTTTAGAAAGACTTGAATATTTTGTTGGAATTAAAGGAACAGCACTAGACTGGTTTAAATCTGATCTATCTGATCAAATTCAGTTTGTTCATGTTAATGATAAATCTTCCTCATACTCAAAGGTTACCTGTGGAGTGCTCGGCGTTAGGAATCCAGTTTGTGTGGGTTTTGTTTTTGTGTCTTTCCCTCCCTCCACCACCAGGTGGTGCCCTGTCCTGTTGGTCCTCTCACACACCTGCGGCTGGTTGACTCATCACTGAGGACTATTTGAGCCATGGACTGTCACTACCTTGGCCCCAAAGTGTTTGCCAGTTTTGGGTACTCTAGTCAAGCTGAGTTTTGCTGAGTCTAACTGAGTCTTTGTTTTCACTGAGCCTAACCCTTTTTGTCTTTGCCTTTTCGGCAGGAAGTTGCCCTGCAAGCTGTATGTTTGGCCTTCTTCCCCTGGAAGGATTGTTTGAGTCTCACACTGAGCAGGGGATAAACCTCCACAAGTTCCGTTCAAGTCCTCCAGTATTTCCAAGTGACAGTCCGCTCAATAGCTCCTCAGGGTCCAACCAGGTCTAAACCTGTCCGCCCTCCAAATGAGTCTATTCTTTTGGATAAACCCACACCGACTGGATTCTCTCTCTCCAAGTCATCGTTCTAAGCTCCCACAGATCCTGAAATAACCACTGAAACTTCCCTTCCCTCTTCCAGCTCCGGTTCACGAGTATACAGAGTTTCCTGAATCCTACCTTCGCTGATCTTATCAAGAAACCTGTTAAAACTTTTACCCTGGTTCTCTGAGTGGTTTACTGCATGTGGGTCAGATCCGTTAAAAAAATCATGACAGAACACTCTGGTCAAATCGTTGACCCAGCAGAAGCCATTCAGAGATTACTTCGCCTTCAACGAACTTTGATCGAGAAACACGATCTCTAACAGAGACACGATCTCAGCAGCCAACTATCAGAGCTAAACAGTGGAGTGGCTCATTTAACCGAGGCTGTACATTTCTCTCTCCAGGCTTCGGGCCCAGCAGGTGTCAGCTGCCCAGTCCTCCCAGGTTCGATGGAAACCCCAAGAAGTGCTGGGGTTTCCTCATGCAGTATACAATTCAGTTCAACCATTCCCCAAAGTAAGTTCCCTTTGGATTCAATTAAGATTTCTTATGTCAGTTCACATCTTATTGACCGAGCTCTGGGTTGGGCCAAGGTCGGATTTACATCATCCCCTGTTTATGGCTGCACTTTTGAGGAATTACCTTTAATCAGGATCTGGATAAGACACTGAACTTCCGTGAAATGCTGAAAGTTAAACAAGGACAGAGGTCTGTATCCGATTTCGCCATTGACTTCTGCATTCTGGCTGCTGCTTCGGGCTGGGATAAAACAGCCCTAATGTGTGTTTACTGTAACGCTCTGTAAAACCCAAATATAGAAAGACACTAAGAAAAATTTTTAAACCACTCAGATGTTGTTGTAGGAGGCCTTTCAGGCTGAAAATGAAGTGTTTTCAAAAATTTTATGTTTTAGTAAGTTTTTACAGAAATGTTGTAATATTGCAACATTGGGCCAAATGGGGAGCAGAATTTCCTGTATGTGTACTCATTGTCTGAACAACAATATAGGACTACGGATTAATTTGCAGGGTTTTGCTTTTATCCCAGAACAGTATAACATGAAAAATACTCTCAGTCATGTTGTTATGAACAGTTTGTTTTTATTTATTCCAGCAAAGAGAACTTTTTATTTACAATCATAGTCCCAAAAACAGTTCCTTTCCTCTGAAAAACAGAGGCGAACATCGCACTTGCAGCAATGGGTATTCGTATACCCTTTACTGCAATGTCTGCAGCGTCCTCTCTTGACCTTCATGGGGAAATGTCCAGTGAGGTCCTTGCGCACATCGAGTGGGGGGTGTGCACATGATTTCTTGGACGGACAATTTGGACTCCCATCATCTGAGGATGGTCTCTTCCTAGCAGTCAAGGGACTCCCTGCTGCGTCTGGGTTCCCGCTGCCTGATGATGGACGTCCTCTTTTTGGAGTTGTGAGTGTTGTGTCCATCTGATTTGAAAAGAGAAGAATCAATATTAATATTAATAATCAATTCATGCACGTGTCAAAAATGCATGCAGATATCACAAAACATGGCAAATAGCAGAAATAGATTCTTACCAGGATGAGAGAGGATGCTAGCTGTGCCTGGAACTTTCTCATGTTTAGCATCTCCTTCTTTGGCATTGCGAGAGCCTGACAGTGCCGTTTGTAGAGGAGCCAGGCGTTGACCACGGCGAGGGTGATGGTGTGCCAGAAGATGTACATGTACCATCGGCGGGATTTCAGGGTGATCTTGTATTTTGCTGTAAATGAGTCCAACAAATCCACACCTCCCATGTATTTGTTGTAGGTAGCCACAATGTAAGGTCTTTCAACGTCAATGTAGGTTTTGGTGGCTTTGTCCCAGCGCTGAATCTCCTGCACAGGTTCTGGTCCAGTGAAGGATGACACAAGTGTGACTGCCCTGTTGTCATACCATTTCACAGCGCAGATGTTGTGTGTCCCCTCCACTCTGTGGTCAAAGCTTCCTCTACCCTTCTTCTTCAAGCTCTTCTCATCTTCAAGGTTGCAGTTAGGGAGCCGCACCTGCCTGCCTGTTCCCACATAATGAATTCCATGCTCAAGGAGCTTCACTACCAGTGGAACAGAGGTGAAGTAGTTGTCTGCATAGATCTTGTAGTTCTGACCCTTAGGAAGTGTGGAGGCAAGCTTCAATACAACATCACCTGACAATCCAAGTTCAGATTTGACGCGTTTTCCATTCTTGCTGCCCTGGTAAACATCGAAGTCAAGCATCATGCCAGAGATTCCAGCTCTCACCCATACTTTGAACCCCCATGGATGTGGCTTGCCTCGCATATACTGCTTGATGCTGCTGAACTTCCCCTTGAAAGGAATCATCATTTCATCCACAAAATTGTGCTCTTCTGGTACCACCTGCAGGCATTTCTCCCTGAATGATTCAAGCCATGGTCTGAGTTTCCAGAGTTTGTCCCTCTTTTCAATCTCTGACACTGTCAAATTGTTGACAAAATGTAATTTTGTCAACAGAGATTGGAATCTGTTGCGTGGCATCACATCAGCAATAGGGGGGTGCCGTGTATCTGTCTCCCAGTACATACGGCTTCCAGACATTTGTACCAAGCCCATCCTCAGGTACATGCCCAACATTTTCTGTATTTCCTTTGTATTAGTGTTAACAGATCTTCCATCATTTTGAATGCTGTACTCATTTGTACTTGTAGCCAGAGCTTGAATCATGTCCTCTGACACAAACTTTTGGAAGTATTGGAGTGGTGTGTGGAGGAAGGTTACATCGTCTGTGACAGGTGGACCAGAAAAATCAGTATTGGGACTGATAAAATCCTGTTTTTGCCAGCGATATCTGTCACGGGGCATGATGCGTTCATTTTCTTGGGGCTCAATGTCCACATTGGCTGGGCAGTCAGATGGCTCTTGGTTTTCTTTGTCCACACAGGGATCATTGTCTGACTCCTCATCACTTGCATCAGTGTCATCAAGGGGTACGTCCACATCACTCTCTCCATCTTGGATGATTGCAATGATATCCTGCACACTGTACCGAGGATCTTTCCTGGCTGCTGGCATTCTGAAATGGAAAAGATAAAATTTAAACAAATGTATATATAAATAGTACACATACTTAGATTATAGATAACCTGCAGGAAAAGACTGGGTGGTTGAGAGATTGATGTTAATTTGAAGTGTTTACACATTGCCCTGAAGTAACCCATTCACACATTTCACTGGTCACACAATACTGTGTCACACAATACTGTGTGGCCGACCAATTCTAAACTCTGATTATCATCAAAATAGGAATCCAAGTAGCCTCCAACTTACAGCCACACCTTACATTCCTGAACATCAACCCCTGTTCCAGAGCAATGCAAAGGCCCCTGCAAGCATCCCCACACCTGCTTTGACTATGAATTGATTGGAACATTACCTTATCAATAGCCAAGACAAAGGGCAGACATGCACAACATGGCTGTTGTGTTGTAGACATGTTAGAAAGCCCTACCTTCTGTGATAAGGGAAAAATACTAAGTGTTGAAGGTGGTTAGAAATCCTTATAAGTAAATTAAAATGATTAGATATGGCAATATATCTTAGTATATTAGCTTCTAACACAATAATACATATAATTCAATATAAGGCAAAGGGCTAGACTGTGTAAATTATGTGTGGTTCAAAGTTATATTGGGAAAACTTCCTCTCAAGACATTCCTCTCAAAAACAGGGTTGTTTTGACTACCACATTCACCCAATGTTGTAATATTGCAACAATTGCAAAACAAGCTCTAGATAAAGTGTAGGGCACATTTTCCACAATAACTACATATTTACATGTTGTAGACACTGTAATAAACACAGAAAAAAATATGCAAAGCTTTTTACTTACTTCAATTAGATAAATCCAGTCCAGTAAATCGAGGGGATGATGCTCAAGCAAAGATCTGGAGGTTGTGTGACTTCTTCACCTGAGGGTAGGCCTTGTATACAAATGTAGGACCCAATAGCATTGTGAGATGAAACAACATGACTCAATGAGTATGTTAATGCAGTTGAACCAAAAAAAAAAAAAAAAAAATAAGGTTTATTTTGGGAGGACAAAAAATGTTGTAATTCTGCAACAGTGAACAGTGACAAAACATTTTTTGTCCCCTATTAAAGATGAGCTAGCCACCCTCGATGAACCTGAAGCTATGGAGGAGCTATCAAGCTGTCTATCCGTTTGGACAATCAGATCCAAGCTCGAACCAAGAAAAGAGGTACCAAAGCTACTCCTTCCAAACCTTTTCCTTCAAGCAACCTCTCCACTGATCTTCCTACTGTCACTTCTCCGCCTGAACCCATGCAGTTAGGCAGCATGAGGCTAAGCTCTGAGCAGAAACAGCACCGCATGCGGGCTAAGCTCTGCCTTTATTGTGGAGAGGCTGGTCATTTTGTCTCTTCTTGTCCCCTGTTGGTAAAAGTCAAGGTCCACCAGTAGATACAAGGGCACTGGCGGACCAGAAAATTTCCCCCTCTTCACCTGATCTACTTTTGCCCGCTTCTCTGCTAATCAACAATAAGTCTCTCTCCCTTTCAGCTCTCACTGAGTCTGGTTGTGAACAAAATCTTATTGATTCTTCCTTCATTCAGCAGATGGGTATTGAGATAATCAGTGATGGGCAGTAGCGCCGCTACATGTAGCAAAGCTGTTAGTTTAACTACATGTTCCAGTAGCTTGACCGTAGCGTTGCTGCTTTATTTATTTATTTTTTATCAAGTAACTTTCCTGTAGTGACGTTATTGTCTTGATAAAGTAGCGACATAGTGTCCCCAAACTCTACAAAATCCAGGGCAAAACTAAGAAATGAAACCAGGTTTTCTATTTCGAAACAACAATCAGTTATTCGTTGGACGTTCATGCATGAGCCCCTATTCTGCCTCTTCTGTGTGTATCTACTGAAACATGCGTACGGCAGTGGAACCCAAAGAATGACACACACAGAGCCACACACACAGGATGGAGGAGGAGACAGGAGCAGAGCGAGAAGAGCAGCCAACTGTCCCTACCACACCGTGGCCTTATCTTCAGAGATTATGAAACTTTTTGAATCCTCAGATAAAAAAATAAGTGTACAGATGTCTGCTTTGCAATAAAAAAAAAAAAAAAACTGTTGTCAACGTCCAGGACATCCAACACCAACCTGAGAACTCACATTCAATTGAATCACTAATTTCCCTCCTGCAGTATACAAGTAAAAATATCTAGCGTCAGTGCAAATCCCAACTCACTTCAGCCAAATGCTGTATGTAAATTAGTAAAACCAAAGCTACCCACCTACCAACAAGCAGTGTGTGATGGAAAGGAACTAGCCAGGTGGCTAAGAAAAAGTGTTTTTATAAAAAAAAAAAACATGAGTGATTTTCAAGGTTCTTGGCCATAGAGAGCTCATGTGGCCAAGACTAGCCATTTGTTTTCCATAGCCAAACACTTAAAACAGTCAACTACAGTATATTTTTTGAAATAAAAATGTGAAAAATATATCAGCTTTAACTTTATTGTCGCCTTTAATTTCCAGATAGTTCAATCTGATGAGTGCCACTAAGATACTCTAATTAGAGAGCAGTAGCCAAACTTAGATATTGTATTTTCATGGCCTAGTTTACCAGACAGGATGTTTACATAAATCTGTTTTAAGGCTTATTTGCAGAGATAAGATTTTTTTAGGTATGGAGGAACAGCTCTACCGTATATAAAATAAATACATAAATAAATACATGCTCAATAAATAAATAAATAAGCATTCAATTAATTACCCCCCAAAATACAATGAATAAATATATAGGTAGAAATTAAATTATACAGTGAGACATAAATATATGTATCTCTTAATTAGCTTCTTTATTTTTTCACCTTTCTTGTAAACAGTTTCATTTGTTACTTGAATCGACTGTTTAATTGAGGTCTGAAGAAGTTTTCTCTAAGGGAGACCCTAAAGAAATAAGATGCCTTTTGTAGGGTTTTGTTTTCCCTAGAGATGTCCATTGAATGCAAACTCATAGCCATGTCTCCATGTGTAGAACACTACACAGTACCTTTCATTTGGTTCTAATAACAGCAGATTGTTTACTAGTTTGGCTACTAGTAATTACTTCAGTTTTTATTTTAATATGCTGATCATAAAGCAATGTTTACACTGTGTTATGTCATTGGCTGATCTTTAATAAATATTTTAACCAGTGTTTCAGACTCATTTTGAATTGACATTAGGTTGGTACAACGTTAAGTAGCTTCTGATGTAGTTAAGCTACTTTTATCACATTAGTGTGTTGTGATTCTATAGTTAAATTCTATTCCCAGCCCGCTGGGAATTTATGTTTCTGATACTTTTAGATGTTTATTGCCCTCCCCTGTAGGGGTGGTAAAATATCTTATTTAATCAGATATTATTTCAGCTGTTATATATTGTTTATGACACACAGTCCTACTAACTGTGTGTTAGAACAATAAATGAAAGAGTGATTCGAGCAGTAATCATGGTCAAACAGTTATTTCTGCACATACATGGAATAAATTCACCACAACTTCTGTTCCAAATATAAGATTTTATTAACACAATTCATTCAGCTCCAAGTCAAACATATTTCAGTTTAACACTCTCAACTAAGACTAGTAAAACTCAACTAAACTAAACTAACTACTATGTACAAAGAGGAAGGGGAAAACGGTTGAAAAACATATTACAGTTTAAGATGGATTCTGTGTTTGAAACCAATGTTTATCTGGAATAATTTGGAATGTGATCAAATTAGCTTTTCACTAATTTTAAAGAAATTGGAATGTTTTCAGACCAATTGACAATGCAAATCCATGAGGTGAATAAAACATTATTTGGCCAAATAATGTTTTATTAAATGATTTGCTTAATCAAGAACCAAAAACCTTTAGTTAAATGATTCTTTACCCTCTTTGAAATCGCTAGCAGCGAATAGACATCAGGATTCCACTAAATGACTCTTGGTCAGACTTGGCAATGGAAATGTAACGAGCATTTGAGGAACACGTGAACACTAATGTTATATCAGTGTTTAAATCCTTAGTGAATAAAGCTGGTCTAAGCTTTAGCAACAGCTCAACACATATTCCTGTAGCATAGCGTAGCATGCAGTCCATTCTTTAGCATCAATTAGCGTTGTCTTTACTCAGCAGTAAACACACGATATGATTAGCATCATCAAAAGACACATTGCTTGTTCTGTCCCTAATCATGCCAGACCTGCAAACCTTTTTCCATGTCCGTTTGGAAAGCTTGGGTTTGATTCATTTGCAGCTCTGCAGTCAGGGGTTCCTTTGTCTCAGTCTCACAGCAGGGGTCCCCTCAGTCTCACACCCAAGGATATGGCTCTCATCCAGTTTGGCTCTGTAAGTTCTGAAACTCAAGAGAAATGTGTTGCAAAAGTTCTGTTTGCAGCAGTTAGGTTGTGAAGAGTTCTGACTCATCCTTGATGGTTCTGGGGATCTGGTTCCCCTGGGGCCCGCATCTCCACTGTGGGCCACAGTGGGCCCCAGCTTTGAGCGCAGGAGCAGAAGGGACCAGGAGAGAGGTGCTGGAGCAGAAAAGGGAGAAAGAGTAAAGAGGCAGAAT